CAAATAGCAAACCCTAGAATTGTGTACCCCATATAGGCTAACCCACTGTAGCCTAACAAACCCAACATATATAATGTTTGACAAACACTGCTCACAGGCTGATGATTCATCATGATAAACCTCAAACATTGTTGCCCCGCGACTTTTTCAGCAATGTTTTGTAAAATGTAGGGCAATGTTTGGGCGGGTTTTTTTTTGCAGAGATGTCGTCGCATCGCACGTCTCCGACCAGTGCCGCGCCGCGGCGAGCTCGTGGAAACCCCAGTCCCGCCGACCGCGCGCCGCCGCTGCATTCAAGAAGGTCTTTTCAGATCCAGCTCTGCGCTGCCGGCTGTGACGGAGTACACTGCGACAAGAGCTGCGACGGCTCCACCGCTCTCGACTTCCCCGCCTCCCTCTCCGTCTTCCTTTGCCCGTTCCCTTCTGCCTTCCCCTCCGTAGAAGGGATTGGCGCCGTACCTTTCGCCCACCCTTCCGTCTCCGCGTATCCTTTCGACCCCAATAGTACCCAGCCGTCCGATGCGGCTGCTGCATTCAGCGTAAATGTCAGACGATCGTTCTCCTGCGAATATTTTATTGACGGGGGAGCTTCTACAAGTGGTACTGCAGCAGCTCACGTGGCGCTTGAGGATTGGTGTAGCGAAGTAGCAGTGTCAATGGCTCAAATCGGCGCGCCGATGTTGATGGGCCGGAAAAAAGCGGCATCAGCTGATGCAGCAATGGTTCCACGATGCTCCTGATGAGCTCGCTCTGCCCGCATTCCCTGAAGTCAAACGGACAAGCCAAGTCAACCAAGTCAATTCACTCGGAGCAATCCTTGCTGTCAATGACTTGGACGCATCGAGCTCAGCCAACACAGTCAATGCAGTCAACGCAGTGACTGTCGCAATAACTGTCAGCGACTCTTCTGAATGAGCACCTGCAGGCGCCAACCTCGACTTCTGAGCCTCGTCGGAGTCAGCTCCGGACTCGAAATCCGAACCTGCAGCCTCGGATGAGCCCCGGAAATCAAACGCCTGTGGACTTATAATCCCAGCAGCAGTAGAGAGGAAGATTCAAGTGGGGGAGGCGAAAGTGGGGGAGGTGTTGAAGCGGCGAGTGGTGGTGAGGAGGGAGATGGGTAAGGGGCAGTATGGCGTATGCATGCAGTTCACCACTGGGGGAGATCACTGCCTGCACGAGCATTTGGAAGGCCGCCATTCAGGTAGGGCGCTCCCTGTCATGGAATCTCCACCGTGCCCTTACCTTTCCATCCTGATTTCCCCACCCTGACCTCCCCACCCTGACCTCCCCACCCTGACCTCCCCACCCTGACCTCCCCACCCTGACCTCTCCACCCTATCCTCCCCACCCCGGTCTCTCCTCCTCCCTGATTTCCCTGCCTTATATTCCCTCCTGTTGCCTATGATCCTGAACCTAGTTTGGTTGCCTCTCACCCTCATCTTCAGCGTCTGTGCTTTCCATCCCTTTCCGCCCTGCCTCATTCCTCTTGGTTTTCCAACTGTGCAGAGCGCTGCTGACGTGGCATTGACAGAAGAACTCAAGGGCCACATCAACATCTTTCGGATCAAGCAGGGACCACAGCAGGGTATTTTACCCTTGTCCGTTACCTTCTGCCCCGTTAAGTGTATGAACAATGACTTCTCGTGCTCGAACATGTTCTGCAGCGTGCATGAGTCATGCTTGCAACTAATTCCACTATTTAATGCAAGCCCTTTCATGTTTCCTTCACTGACTCGCTCCTGCCCTACTCACCCATTACCCTTGCCCTTCTGTTATATTTCCTGTAGACTATGCTGACTCGCTGCATGTGGTGATGGAGCACTGTGATGGGGAAGACCTGCGTGACCGCATTGACTCCCACAGAAGGTTCTCAGACCTTCTGCAGTGCACATCTTTGACATCACATGCTGATATATGACATTGCTTATAGTGAGGACGTTCCCAGACGCATGCTTTACATGTGTCAATACTCCATGCTTAGTTTTACAAATACCAGAATTATAAGGGTTCAAATTTCTCGGTATAGATGCACCAACCAACACCTACGGTATTGTAAAACTTGGTGCATGCGATTTTGACAGCTAAATTTTGGTAGATGGTACCGTAACTCTAATCCAGGACGCTTGTTACTACACATTGCAGTATACCGGTTTTGTCTGGTTTAGTTGCCTGGTTGGTATATGTCTTGATAACGGGCCTGTTTGGAATATGAACTCATGTGTGCCCGTTCTACATGTTCTATTTTTTTTAGAATGATATTTGAATTAAGGTTTCTTCCTTTTGTTTCACTACCTGGGTATGGTAATTCTAGAAGCACAGCTTGTAGTGACTCTACAAAGGGGATTGAACGAATGTGGTTGGTTTATGAAAGGGAAAGTATATCCCCGCTCCTGACTTTCAGATTTCTCTCATATTCAGCCCTAGGTTTACTCAAAAAGCACCACTTTCTAGAATTTCTCTCACGCGAGGCCCAAAGTATGTTCAAAAGTGGTCATGCGGGACGATTTTTTCGACACGTGTCCTCTTGTTACACCGCCTGACGAACTTCCACGCATGGAAAATTTGGACGGGGGCAAAAAAAATAAAACCCCTAGAGAACCAGGACACATTCGCGGGAGGGATCAACCCTAAACACCTAGCAGGTCCCGTGTTTAGGGTTGCTCCCTCCCGAAAATGTGTAATGGTCCTTTAGGGGTTTTATGCATTTTTGTCCCGTAAAAACTTTTCCGGCGCGAAAATTGCCCTGACAAACGGTTAGTTCAGAGTGGAAGTGCGTCAGCTGGTAACAAAACGACACGTGTCGAAAACTTCGCCCCGCAGGACCAGTTTTGAACATACTTTGGGCCTCGCGTGAGAGAAATAATGGAAAGTGGTGCTTTTTGAGTAAACATAGGGCTAAATATGAGAAAAAACTGAAAGTCAGGAGCTGGGATAGACTTTCCCTTTATGAAATGCCCGAGATTCCATCCACTGAAGTTACGACACGATGTCAATATTGGAACAGGCTGATCTGACTCTGGACAAGTCTGTGCCTGTTCTGCCTGCCGAAGTCCACGGTTCTCGGAAAAGGCATCGGCCCTTTGGTTTTGGCTAACCGATGGTGGGCACGTCAGCGTTGATTGCAAGATGCTCCCATTTGGCTTGGCACATGCGCTTTGCGCATTGAAGATCGCAGTTTGCCAACGGTTGCAGACTCAACTGGCGCGGGTCACGTGGGGCAATCCCTTTCCAGCGTGTGAGTTGCCATGCTGGCACCCAAACTGGCACTTTTCAGCGTGGGGAGGGGACGGTTTCCCGTCGCCAGGAACGCCATCTCAGCACCCTAACCGCGCACCCATCTCTCACTACCCTTCGGAGTTTCAGCGGAAGCTTCGATGCCATAAGAAATTACCTCCGTAATTCCACCCGCGGGATGGACACGCGTGGCAAATTGTTCCGCTGAATCCCAACGAACTATGAGGTCAGATTCGTGCTCATGTGCTCCTGAAAGGGTACAGACGTGTTCGATACGTTTATAGTACGTCTCGAGGTGAATTGTCTGTCTCAAAAAACTTTTTTGTTTTCCAGTAGCCCAGTCTCAATGAAACCACTGAACACGTCCCAACGAAACTCCCCGTTCGACCTTTTGCCCCCTGCCTCTCCCCCCAACCCAACCCCGCTGAGCCTGTTCCCGTTCGTTCTCGTTTCCCTCCCGTCCATGCAGGACGGATGGGGTTTTTGTTTATATGGACCTTTCTACATCTCGTTGGAACACGCCGGAACGTTTTTTAAGCTCTTTGAACCGTCGAGAACCTTTACAAAGGATACGGCAGGTCTCGTATCTCCATCCAACGCACAACTCGCTCTATATCCCCTGCAGCGCAATTGGTGCAATCACCATTTCTCTCTTTCCGAGCTGCGAGCAGCATTGCAGGCGAGTTGCGTTCTCGAAAAACCTCCTCGCATTTTTCAAATACACGCGTAGAGTGTAACCAGCACTACACGTCACCATACGCAGTACACATTTTTCCCATTGCGTTCTTGGCAGATTCCGATCCGAGCACGTTGATTGGAGAATCTCGGCTTTATTCCTTTTACCCCCTTCGTCCACGTCGGCATTGACGAAGCGTAGTCAGCATCTAGTCGCGCACAGTGCTGTGATCGTATCTCTGTAGCAGTGCACAAGCGGTGCACCAAGGCTTGCTATTTCGCTACGCTGGCTCTAAGTACCGCCCATTCCCACCCACACTTGCCTTTCCCATTTCCGCAGCGCTCACGCTTCATAGGGTACACAATATGTTCGATATGTTCGCCACCCCACAGAGCCGATGCGCGTTACGATTTGCCCGATTCGAGAGGGTATCGAAAAGGCCCCGCGACTGTACACCGACTGCGTGTCTTGGTGCTGCTGACTAGGAGCGTCGATGGAGCATGCCAGCATTGGGAGATTTACATTTGTCCACGTGGAAGCCGTTATGTATCCACTTGTCCAGCTCAGCAGCCAGAAGGGGTGGGGTGAAGACAGCGAATCGCGGTCTGACTCAGACACTTTGACGTTTTCCGAAGTTCAGAACTTAATGGGTGTGGAAATCATCAGAAAGAGGTGTACAGTAGTGGAGGAATCGTGGAAGGCTTGTGGCAGAAGACTCATCAAAGTCCACGTGATCACGTCAACGTGTCTTGTCGTCTTCTCTCACGACGAGAGTGGGTGAGGCCCATGGCTCATCATGAGACAAGACGCGCGCCGCAGCTCTCCGCTCCGCCGATGATCGCTGCGAGTTCGCTCCGCAGTAGCCGCAGGCGCGCGCACATCGGGAAGAATGCGCGCGCGCGTCTTTCTTACTCCGCGCGAAAACCCCGGGGGTGTCTCGTTTCCGCTCCTCTCGCCTTCGCCTCGCCGCGTCACCCAGCTCAGAAAGAGCCAGAGGAAAACCCATCACTGAGCTCTTGTGCCCTTTGCGCCGCCCCTTGCGCGCGCCCCCTCCGATCGATCCCCTCCCCTCTGACCCATCGGCGGCATGATCACTTTCTACCATAAATACGCCTCGCAGTGAATGCGAATTCCATATCGCCACCCAGTTCGCTCTCGAATTCGCCCTCCTAGTACTAGAACCTGGGTAGTGCTAGCAGCATCACGACTTTTTGGATCGACTCGATCTCCCGTCGACTTTCACTCAACGGTCTGGAATTGATTTGAATCCGATTCACCTTGATTTCAATCATGGCCAGCAAGCATCGCACGCCGTCGCCAACCACGACGGGGCATTCGAGAAGGTCCTTCGAGTGTCAGCGCAGTGGCGGGAATAACGACGATAATGGCGGCGCGGCGGCCACCCTCGAATTTTCCGCCTTCCCTTCCGCCTTCCCTTCCGCCTTCCCTTCAGCCTTCCCTTCCGCTTCTGCCTTCCCTTCCGCCTTCCCTTCAGCCTTCCCTTCCGCTTCCGCCTTCCCTTCCGCCTCCGCGTGGCCGCACGTGTCCCAGATTCCTCCTGTTGACTCGACTCTATGGCCGTTCGATCCCGCGCGATTCGTCACAAATAGCGGAGAATCGTTTTCCGCGTTTCAGTGCGGATTTTACGCGGAAGGAGGAGCTGCTACTGGTCCCCCAACAGCCGACGTGGTGCTTGGGGATTGGCTGAAAAAGGCAGCGGCATCAGCGGCGGTTGAAACGGCACCAATGGTGGTGGGGCGGAAGCAGCGGCAGTCGCTGCTGCAGCAGTGGTTCCACGATGCTCCTGATGGGCTCCTTCCCCCCGCCCTTCCTGAATTTAACTGCACCAGCCAAGTCAACCGAAACAGCCAAGTCAACCGAGTCAACGCCAGATTCAATGCAGTCAGTGCTGACAACACGTTCAATCCATCTGGCAGAGTCAACACGGTCAACACAGTCAACGCAGACAATGCAGTCAGTGCGGCAACTGGCAGTGATGCCAGCCTCAGACTCCAAGCCTCGGAGTCAGCTCTGGAATTGGAATCCAAGCCTGCAGGCTCGGTTGAGCCTCCGAAAGCCAACGCCTGTGGATTCGCAACCCCAGCAGCAGAGGAGAGGGAGGTGCGAGTGGGGGAGGTGCAAGTGGGGGAGGTGCAAGTGGGGGAGGTGCGAGTGGGGGAGGTGCAAGTGGGGGAGGTGTTGGGACGGCCAGTGGAGGACATTCGACAGCAGTGGCTTCTGCTCAAGAAAGAAATAGGCAGGGGGCAGTACGGTTTGATTCGGAGATGCGTGCACCGCAGCACGGGGGAGCACGCTGCCTGCAAGAGCATTCGGAAATCCGCGTTCCAGGTTGGTTCATCCTTCTCCTAAACCCTATACCTTTCCGTTTTAATTTCTCCACCTAAACCCTACATCTTTCTGTTTATTTGGCACTTTGCTTGGGTTCTCCTGCCCTGCTCCCATCTCATTTGTCCTTTACACCTCTTCTTCTCAGCTTCACCTTGTGTGTTCTCCTTTCCTTTCCGACCTACGTGGTACCTCTTGCTCACCCAATGTGCAGAGTGCTGCTGACGTGGAGGCAGTGCGGAATGAGGTGGCATTCATGGAGGAACTCGAGGGCCATGCCAACATCATTCGGATTAAACAAGCTGTGGAGACGCAGAGAGTAAGTTACCCTAGCCCGTTACCCTTTTCCCCCTTCTAAAAGTAACGTAAATATCTGAAGGCGGTCTAACCCTTTTTGTTCATGAACCCTTTTTGTTGGCATAATGTTCCCTGTAACTGGCTGTCTCCTACAACTCCACAAGGTTGCTCAAATTCCTTTCCCCTTCACTCTTCCCCTTCCCCTCCTCTCCCCCCCCCCCCCCCCCCCCCCCCCAGCACGTGCACGTGGTGATGGAGCTCTGTGAGGGGGGAGACCTGTTTGACCGCATTGAATCGCACGGAAGGCTCTCGGAACCTTCTGCAGCGCGCATCTTCCGATCGCTCATGCTGGCCTTGCAGCACTGCCACTCATGCGGCATCGTGCACCGCGATGTCAAACCCGAGAACATCCTTCTATCGAATCCTGCTAATAACGAGGATGTTGAAGGAGCTGATACAAGTGGCTGCGAAGTCAAGCTGATTGATTTTGGTTTGGCCGCTAGGCAAACTCCGGGTGTGGCTCTGTCAGGGGTGGTGGGCACAACAAACTACATGGCTCCGGATGTGTTTTCCGCGTCATATGGGCCCGAATGCGATGTGTGGAGCGCTGGCATCGTGCTCTTCATGATGCTCTGCGGCACGTTCCCTTTCTACGGCAACAGCACCGTGAGCAACAGCAGCAGTGATAAAAGCAGTACGAATTATGGAGGCGGCAACAGCAGCAGCAATAGCAGCAGCAGTGACAGCAACAGCAGTGGTGATGGCAGTGGCGGTGGTGGTGTGTGGCAGAAGGTACTGGAGGCCAAGTGGGGTGGGTTCAGCCGCAGCCGGCAGTGGCAGGAGCTGTCATCACCAGCCAAGCATCTCATCATTCGCATGCTCTCTGCTGACCCCACCACCCGAATCAGCGTGGATGAGATTCTTGGTGAGCTGTAGTCTCAGTTTTCTGTCATTCGGTGTTAATTGTGGTAGCGAATGTGTTCTTATTGTGGGCCTTGGTTTATTTTGCAGAGCACGAGTGGGTCACTGCTTGCACAAGATGCTGAGTGCTCTACTGACTGCATATTTTTCCCCTTTCTGAAAGGGTTTATATTATTTCAAGAGGGCTAATATTATTCATTGGTATGAAAATCATAAACAGCGGTACCGTCATACCCCGGATATACCCCCATGGGGGGCAATAATAAAACAGGTTTTTTTAGGGGGGGTGGGCTTATAATCGGGTAAATTTATAAGCGCCGGCGTTTATAAAACGACATATATATTTTATATATGTTTTAACACCAAGCTGTAGATCTCGTGCTAGCCTTTTTCAATCGAGTCGAAGTTCTGTGAAATTTCTCGCGCGCGCTGGAGATACACCTACTCTGACAGCTCCTGACAGCTTCTGACAGCTTCTGACAGCTCCTGACTGCTCCTGCTGACTGGTCCCGCATCCAGTGCAGGGTCCGAATGTGAAGGGAAGCGAATCTGCAACACATCCCCCTGCTGAAGTAGAAATCGTTACAGTGTTTCGAACACAATTCAAAATTTAAAGTTTACGTGCGCTTATAATAAAACAAGTTTTTTCAGGGGGGTGCGCTTATAATCGAGCACCGGATATAAGCGCCGGGCGCCGATTAAAAGCGCCAGGCGCTTATCCGCGGGTGGCGCTTATATCCGGGGTATGAATAATGCAGGTCCTCACGAGGCCCGCCAGAATAAAAAGACCCTTCGTGAAGAGTAAAGGCCCATGGGGCTTTTATCCAGGGGTGTTGTCACTTGTCACCACACACACCCAGTGAATTGTCAAAAAAACCCGTCACGGAGTGTCATGGCATTTCATACAGCTCGCCAGCAAGGCCATCCGTTCCCGGAAATGTCTCAGTACTTACATCCTACTACAGTTCTAGATCGAGTCCGTAAGATAAGCATCGGAAACGCAGAACTACACCCGTTCTCTTCTCCTCGTCCGCGTTGGCCCTCACGACGGGAAGCATACCGGTAGTCAACACTTAGTGGCACACGGGCACACCCAGTGTGTCAAATATTGTCGCCTGTAGTGGGGCTTGTCATGTGGGGTACAGTTGTTAGGGTTAGGCATATGTACCCCAACTCACAGTAATACCACGATTATTGATTTTCTGACATGGTATCACCTAGGTTAGGATCATGTGGGATCCTTTTCCTCCCTCTCGCGCCCATTGCGCCTAGCCTAACACGCCCGTAGCGCCCTACCGTCGCGCCTGTCCCGTACCCTAGCGCCCGTCGCGCCCGTCCCGTCCCCTAGCGCCGGTCGCTCCTGCCCGTCCCGTCCCGTCGCGTCGCGCCTGCCCGTCGCGTCGCGCCCGTCCCGTCCCGTCCAGTCGCGTCGCGCCTGCCCGTCGCGTCGCGCCCGTCCCGTCCCGTCCCCTAGCGCCTGCTGCACCTACTCGTCCCGTCGCACCCGTCTGTCCTGTCCCGTCGCGCCCGTCCCGTCCCGTCCCCTAGCGCCTGCTGCACCTACTCGTCCCGTCGCACCCGTCTGTCCCGTCCCGTCGCGCCCGTCTGTCCTGTCCTGTCGCGTCTCGCCCGTCCCGTCCCATCGCGTCGCGCCTGCCCTTTCTGTCCTGTCGCGTCGCGCCTGCCCGTCCCGTCCCGTCGCGCCTGCCCGTCTCGTCGCGCCCGTCCCGTCCCATCCTCTCGTGCCCGTCGCACCTGCCCGTCCCGTCACGTCGCGCAAGCCCGTCCCGCCGCATCCCGCTCGTCCCGTCCCATCCCACCTGCCCGTCCCGTCGCGCCTGCCCGTCCTGCCGCGCCGCGCCTGTCCGTCCCGCCGCATCGCGCCCTGCGCGTCCAGTCTCACCCTGCCTGTCCCATTACGCCCTACTTGTCGCGCCCTACTCCGGCCTTCAAGGCGATTTCCAACCGTAGCTCCCCTCCGCTTCCGCTATGGCGACGCCTAGAGTCCTACGCTTTGACGCCGAGGGTAGGCCGCTGGAATTCTCTAACTGGCTCCTGCGTGCCCAACGCCTCCTAGAGAGTCAGTGTCAGGTTGACGAGTCCCTCTGGGCGCACGCTTCCGATGACCTTCTTGCACCATCTGATCCTGCTCCCCTCGGCGCTAATCCCATTACTGCGGACAGAGAGCGGTTTGCTCGTCAGCGCGCTGCTCTCACAACCTGGAAGTCGCGCGACGCCACGGCCTGCATCGCCCTCAGCAGCCTCCTCCCTGAGTCTGAGGAGACCCACTTCACCCAGGTTTGCACTGCTAGTGAGATTCTTACTGCGATCAAGGCCTGCTACTCCACTCCCACCACTGTCTCTCTTGGTCACCTGTTCCTAGTGTTCCTGTTTCCTGACCTCGCCTCGTTTGAGCGTTCTTCTGATTTGATCGCTCGCCTACGTTCACTGGATTCTAGCTACCGCGCTGCTTGCACTGACGCACAGCTTGTACTGCTCCCCTCCCCCATGGCGATTACTATATATTTCATCGCCACTAGCCTCCCTGACCGCCTTGCCTCGGTTCGTGACGCGCTTCTTCTGAAGCACCCTAGCGAGCTCACTATCGGCGTCCTTGAGTCTGCCCTCAAGGACGTCGAGAGCAACCTCCGCTCGGTAGCCTCCGCCTCTGTTGCTGTGCCCCCCCCCACTGTTTCACGGGTGCACTATCCCTCATCTGCCCACTTTTACAGCTTTCCTCGCCACTGCCACTACCGACGAGACTGCAGCTACTGTCTCGACTTCTGTGCGATCTAGAGGTAGGAGTGGCAGGAGGGGCGGCTAGGGTGCGGGCAGCAGCAGAGGCGGCGGAGGTGGCGTGGCGAGCGGCGGTGGCGGGAGTGCAGGAGTTGGTGGAGCGCCTCGTCCAACTTCTAGTGACTCCCCTACTACAACTGGTGAAGGTGACGCTCGGTTTAGTCAGGCACCTACGAGACTGCCAGCTGCAGGTGCTGGAGTGGCGGCTTGGTACCTGGCTCAGCAGGGGCAGCAGCAGGTTCCGAGGCACGGGTCAGGACCGCGTCAGCTGTCGCGTGGTGACGCCCACCCTCCTTGCCCCTACCTCATCCAGACAGGTACTCGCAGCGGCCTCCGCTGTAACCGCCGTCACCCACCGGGTCAGTGCTTTGCTCAGCTCACTGACACACTTCGCGCGGTCTACGGCGTTGACAGCCCTGCCCCTGACTATCTTCCTCTTGTTTGCTCACACGGTCCAGTTCTGTGGGGCATGTCTGCTGCTCAGTTACTTGATCCCTTAGGAACTCCACATGCTATGTATATTGTTGTTGACTCTAATGCTTCTGACTCTGTTTGCTCGCGTGTTTTTAGCTTAGGTGCTAGTGTTGATCCTGTGCCAGTTGCTAGTGTAGGTACTTGTTTAGGTACGAGTCCAGGTGCTACTCAGAAGGACGCTTTGCTGTCTTTCACCCTGGACTCCGGAGCTTCGTAGTGTTTCTTTCGCGACCACACGACTCTTACTCCACTTCCTGCGCCAGTCTCTACAGCACTGGCTAATCCCACTTTGGGACTAGTCATTGCTCACCACTAAACTACGCTCCATGCCCGGCTGTTCCCTCGGGTACTCTGACGGGCTTACACGTCCCCTCGTTCTCTATGAACTTGGTGGGCTTGCTGCCGCTCGTGGGTCACCACGTTGGTGTTTGGTTTGAGCCTTCTGGAGACTCTGCTACCTGTGCGGACAGTGACACGTACGTGCCCCTGGCCACCTTTCACCAGGAGTCGGGTACTGGTCTCTGCAGGGGTTGGCACGAACTACTAGGAGTGATCGTAGCTTTGCTTAGTTCCTTAGCGCTTGCACATTCACGGGAGAAATCGGCAAGAGTTTCCACTAGCAAAGTTGGAATTACAGAATGATTGAACAAGCAATGACAGAATGACTACATCAGGCACCTAGCAACTCTGCAGCTAGCCTGGTCGACCGCCAGCACTGCATGGTCGACCGCCTGCCAGCGTTGCGTAGAGGAGCCGCGCCAGCACTGCAGAAGGGCGACCTGCCAACACAGCAGGTCGACGGCGTGCCAACGCTGCAGCAGTGCGGCTGTCCAGCGTTGCACCCGTAGATGGCAGCAGTGCGCACGCTCGCAGGTGCGTGCAGACGATTGGCCCGACTTGCACCGTTGTGCATCCGTCGGCTGTTGTCTGCGCCTGACGAGCCACATCGACTTCGGGATACCAGCCCAAAGTCGCCTTCGTCACTGCTACCTCGACGACGTTTGCGTGCCTCCGCATAACTCGCCGAGCATGTTACCTGGTCGACCTGGTCGACCACCAAGTGCTCTGGTCGACCACCAGGTGCCTCTGGTCGACCACAGCTCCCGTCGAGCTACCCCCTGGTCGACGGACCCCCCTCCATCGACCAGAACTGTCAGCTGTTGTCGTCGAGCTCCCCTCGTCGACCGCCGCTCACTTGTCAGGTCGACGGACCACTCCGTCGACCTCCCGGTCGAACTGCTCCTCCTGGACAACGCCCCACCCGTCGCCCAGCCCAGTCAGCTACAGCTCTCAAGCTCCCTGGTCGACGGCTCCAGCCCCGTGACAGTCCTGTGCAGGTCGACAGCCACCTCATCGACCTGCCCCGCAGAAGGCTGTCGAGCACTCCTGGTCGACGGCAACACTACAGTGAACCCCTGCAGCTTGACGAAGCCCGTCGAGCCGCTCCTTCACTGCAAACGGTCGGCTGCTTCTCCCGTACATCCGACCAAGTCGTCGGCGTTGCCCAAGCGAGGGCGGGGCCAACACTCCACTCCCATTAAGACTCCCCTGCCGCGCTCACGCTTGGGCCTCCAGCCCACTCCAAGGAGAAAACTCGTCCTCGACGTGCACCCCACACACAGCACGCTGTCACCGCACCAGCCGTGCAGAAGGGCACGACACCTACTGTTGCACATCATCGTCGCCGTCGCCGACGTTGGCAAGGCGAACTTGGCCGATGGCGACAGAGCACCGTTTGAAGGCCGGAAAATGCAGTGCCTTCGTCAGGAAGTCGGCAGGCTGCTCGGTGGTCAGGATGTACTTTAGCACGAACTTCCCGCACCTCACCAGTGCTGTAGCCAGGCGTAGCGTCGCT